TCACAGTTAAAATCGTCTTCTTTTTTATGAGTATCTTCATCACAGTTAAAATCGTCTTCTTGTTTTTCATGAGATAAGGTAATTTCATCATCATTTTCAGTAATGTCACTTTCATCATCTTCTTTTTCAGAATCTTCAAAATTTTCAAAAGCAATTTTGCTACAATCCCCGAATCCTTTCTCGTTTCGGTCGGTTGCGTTTAATGAAGTTTTTTCTATTAAACTGGGATGCATTATTAGTTCAAAAATAATTTGTGCAATGGCCGATCCTTTTTCGAAAATGATAATTTCTGATCCATAATTATACATAATAATACCGATATTTCCACGGTAGTCAAAGTCAATAACTCCTGCATTGATCATGATATTGTTTAACGAAATGGAAGATTTTGGAGCTATTCTAGCATAACAGTTCATTGGGATTTCCAGGGCTATATCGGTGAAAATTACTTTTTGTTCATGGGGGTTTATTTGAAAGTTCTCAGTACAAAATATATCGTATCCGGCTGCACCCAAAGAAGCCTTTTTTGGACATATAACTGTATCGGATAATCTTTTAAAATAAACAATTTCTAGAAAATATAAAATATTTAATTATTATTACATTTCATACAATCACATTTTATAAAATATTTATTAAATATAGGCATTATTATTTTATTTTTTATTACGAAAAATTTACATTCATATAGTTTATTATTTAGCAATTTTAATAATGCTGCTTCCCTATACGTTTGTTTTAAACACGAATAAGTTCTACTACAAATGCTATGTATTACATAAGTAGTTTTCCTTTTGTATATTATTAAAAAACCATATTGTGATGATGCTGATGATATCAGAATATTTGCAAGAATTAAAAGTAGAAATTGTCGTGGCCGAATGATACCACATCTATTCCATTATCTAAAATGAATTGTTTATCGTAAAATGGGGAAAAAGAAATTTTATTTTGTAGATATGTTGTTATTACGTGATTACTTTTAATTCCGTATTGCTGATGTCTTTATTTAATCTTTAAATTTATAAAACGAAATTCTAAAAATTGTTGTTGGAATAATATTGTTTCAGAGTTTATATTCTATGAATTGTGGATATTTCTGTTTTTATTTTCTATATAAAATGAATAGAAATTAATGTTTAAAAGAATTAAGTACAAGAGATAAATTTTATAATGACAAATTTGCAAAAAAATTGTTAAAAGTAATTTATATCTAGCATGCTCATGTGCTATAATGTTTAATCAATGCTGTAATTTGATGGTAAAAGTAGTAATAATTTTTAAAATTTTTTATTTTCAAATAAAATATATAACATACATTTTATATACATTTTCAATTTTTTTTAGCTGAAAAATAAACAAACAAACAATACCATGAAGGAAGAAAAATCATAGTGAATGACAACTCTCGTCGCTTCAAAAACCTGTTGTCCTGGGGTAGGTCAAAGAGGCTGCTCTTGTTTACCCCTTGAGGTCTCTCCATCTTCAGCATGATCTTGTCTCTTCCAATCTGGAGAAAATCAAATTCGTGCAGTAATATAATGAAATAGGAATGATATTTTAGCCAACACAACATATTCTCTCCTCTCTTCACGAACATGATGTAGAAGCTCCATCACCCGATGTAGAACGTGTTCTCGTCTGTTAATAATTTTCCATCTGTTGATGCATTGCTATGCTAAAGCGAATGCGTGGTGGGGAGGTGAAGGCAATGTGACGTTATAGCGAATGTGCGGTGGAGGATGCAACGGTGAGAAAAACCACAATCAACACATATTAATATTTGCAGTATGCTCAGCCAGTGGAAGGTGGCATGGACACGTATGATTAACCATATGCAGCTGCGGTGGAGCTGGTGGTTGATAATTGGAGTCATTTCTCTTTCCTCGATCTACAGCAAACATACTGGCACTATCCACCTTTGATCTTAGTTCATTTGGGGGACACACATTCTGAGGGATAACAATTAGTTCAGAATATCCCTTATTCCAAACCCTGTTAAGAGCATTCTGTAGACTATTTTTATTTACTTCTTTAACCTGACTTCTTAACATTTCAGTCTAAAAAAAATACTCGCAATGAATTTAAAATCTAATTTATATAAAACATATTATTAAAATAATTTTAATACTCACCATCATGACTTTGAAAGTTAATATTGAAAATTCAGGTGATTCGGTCCAATATTTATATGAAATTTTAAGGAAAATATTTTTTATAAGGTTTTACTTCGTGACACATTATTGCGGTAGTAGTAGTGGTATGACACACACTAATTACAAAATTAATTTATATACATAATTTTTAAAATACGGAAGTAGTATAGTTTTGATACACTTGGATTAGAAATTTCTATGGCAAAATATAATGTACGATACAAGATAGATTAGACACACAATTTTTTGGAATAATGTTTGATACAATATTTAATTAATCAAGAGTTATTTTTGTGCAAGAATGTGTTGCTATTATTTATGTAGAAATTACTGAGTTGCTGATATTTTAAACAATGTAACACCAAGAAAGATGATTATGAAAATTTTTAGAAAAATAATTGATATCTTGAAATTAATTCTCAATCCAATAAATCTTGTAAGTCAATTAAAGTATCTGTAGTTTAATGTTGATATTTTAAATCTAATTTTTGTATGTTATTTTTAGTGAATTGCTAATTTAATGATTGATACTGAGAAATTAAATTTCATTCTTTCAATAAATGAAATTGGAAATTTATAATTTTTCCATATATAATTCCAATTTAATTTATCAGCAAAGTCATAAATAAATTATTGACTTAAATAATAAAAATTGTTTTTATCTACTGGTAAAGAATATTTTTCCCAAACAATTGACATGGTGGTGTTTGTAAGTCTAAAAAAAAACAACCAGTTACATATTTTGTAATTGAATATAAAACAATTCTTTATTTGATTACAAAATTGGTTTACATTTTTTTATTCAAATACAAATTCATCACAATATATTTTAACTATACAGTTTTATAACGTTAAATCAGGAGGAGTAGATGTTAACATATATTGATGTTTTAAACATTACCACAACAAAGAATTTCATCGTTACAATAACGGTTATTCTTTTTGTCATTGTCGTCATAATTTTTATTACATTCATCATCACTAATTTCAATAATCTCAACATTGTTATCGTTTTCACATTCATCATCACTAATTTCAGTTATATTTTCTACATAACTTTCTTCTACGATATTATTTCTATGAACGTTTTTTGTACATTCGTTCAGAGTTTTTAAAAAAGATTTTTCCAATATCATTGGACAGTAGGTTTTTTCAAAAATAATTTGAGCTATTACATCCCCTTCTTTTATTATGAAGTCATCATCTCCAAAGTTATTTATTAATATTCCGATATTCTCTCTGTAATCAGAATCAATAACACTTGCATTGATTAATATATTATGTTATAAAAGCAATAATGATTTTCATACTATCTTCCATAACAATTGTTCAAAATTTGTATAGCTATATTGATGAATATTAATTTTTGTTGTTTACTTTTAATGATATAATTATCGGTACTAAATAAATCATATCCCACACCATATTTTTTAGGTAATTTTGCTTTTTCAGAAAGATATTTAAAATATACAATTTCTGTAATAAAAAAAATAATAATTTATTTATAATATGTAAGTTATATCATTTTTTAAAAATAAAAACAATAGTGTCCAAATGATTTTACATCTGTACCATTATCTAAAATAAATTTTTTGTCATCATTATTATAATATTTATACAAAATTAAATATATATTTTGTTTTTAATAGAAAAATGCATGGAGTAATAATTGACTTTGAATATTTTGATTTAAGTGTTGGGACTGTGTATAGACAATTAAGTTATACGTTCAAAAGTATCTTCATCTATTACAATATAAACATATATACTCCATGTGTACTTCATTTAACTCATGTATCATGAGTTAAATGAAAGAGATAAAAGACAGGTGAATTTTTTGAGAAAATTTGTGCTTGGTTAAAATTAAGGTGGAAACCAAATTATAGAGTTTGAACTGGATTAGTAGTAATGAAATAGAGAATGTTTTGAAAAAACATTCAAAAAAATATAAAATTATATTTTATGAAGGAGGAACACATGAAAAAGATCTATGTAAGAAATTATTCAGTGTTATGATATTGAAAAAATTTTTAATGTACTGAAATCTGATAAAATAAAAATCAAATGTAGTGAACATGATTTATTTGATAAAAACAGCATATTTAAATGGGTGAACAAATTGGTCCCCCCTGGATCTTTCTAAATTTTGATAATTTATCTTTTTATTATATTTTCAAAATTACAACATAGCAACGACGTCTATATTGCTTATCACAAGTGATACGATTGTAGTGGTCGAAACTCCACATGTCACAAGCAGCAGTTGAATTACAAACTCTCCCCATTCCAAGTAAAGAAAGGTTCAAATTCAAGAAATGCTCTGATAGCATGAAAAAAAAGTGGTAATTTAGAATTTAGTTCGTGATTCTGATATAGGATGTATTAATCACCATAAATTTACAAATATATCTTACGATGATTATAAAGACGGTTATACTTTATATTGTTTCGATCTTACTCCCGATCGTTCCGCATCAGAATTTCATAAAAGTATTAATCAATTAGGAAATATTTCAATTGAATTTAAATTTGCGACTGCGTTATTAGAAACTGTAAATGTTATTTGTTTACTCAAATACAATAATTCTCTGGAAATTGATCATTTGAGAACAGTATTTGTAGATTATTAATGAATACGATCATGTTATGGACACTAGCATTGAGTGACTCGAAAATAAAAAGGACTTTCGGAGGAGTTTTTGCATCCGATGATTTACTCGTGTGCATCGCTAATCGAAAATCATTTATAATTAATTTAGATGAAAAAATAAGCCCAGAAGTCATTGGATATCCGCATTCTTCGATGGAAACACCTGTTTTTACTATCATAGTTACGGAATGAAACTGTCAAAACTAAAAATAATTAAATTTATAAAACGAAATTC